ATGTCTCCAATGTCAGAGTACAGCGATTTCACTCTGATTAAACCCAGCAGCACCACAGACTTTAAGGAGGTGATCAGTGTCCTGGATGCTTCTTTGCCCGACAGCACCTGGACCTTTGAGAGCCAGCAGGTGAGGCGAAAAAAACAGTAGATCTAAGCTAAATGTTTTAGATCATTATTATTCTTATCGTCGTTTTTAAGTCACTTTGAAAAATCAGCGGTGTTCATTAAATTCTTGAAATGTTGCTTTTTTGCACAGTGCAGATATTCTTTTTCAGTATAGATTTTTTTTTCTATTAGCATTATTAAAACTGTGGTATTAAATCGGAATTTATTGCAACTTATCTTCCCGTTATGGGTTATTACTGTTGTCCTTTTAACTCGTGATCCATTAGCATTAAAACGCGCGTTCCCATTTCAATCGAAAACCACTTAATTTACTTTCCTGTCTGAATCATCCTAAAATAATAACGCCCTTTCAAAAAAATGTTGTGGGTTCTTTGTTTGTTGGTTTGTTTTTTTCCCTCCACTCAGTCATGATTTTCTTTCCATGAGTACTTTCTGAGGATCTTGAAATATTCACAATTGTTTTATTTTTCTCCGACGTCTTTCTACTGTGATAGAAAATATCACAAACACTGAAAACGTAATGATGGCAACATACTTAAAGAATCGAATTATTTCTTATCACGATCTAGTTCGTTTGATAACGTTCTCTTCTCTCTGCGACAGCAGTACACAATAATCTAATGTAAAGTTGTTGTTTTTTTTCTTTTACTTTGGAAACAGGGCATTTTTCGTGTCTTTCCACTCTATTGTGCTTGTATAACACCAATATGAATTCTCCTCTCTTGTTTGTATTGTGAGAGAGGTGGTGCAAAACCCTAACAGCAATGTTAGTGCTCCGTCATTGGATAGTATAGATGAATGTTCTGAACCAATGGCATACAGATCTCTACAAAGAGATCTACTCCATCCCCCATTCAGTCGCATCACAGTAACTGGCACAATGCTCCGAGATGGAGGTGGAGAGGATATGTGCGTATACACAGATGTCCATAATTTAGACCTTTGTTATTAACGTGCACTCGTGGATTGATCTCTAGCATCATATTCATTCTGGCGCTGGAATTATTGTCGAGGTGGTTATGTGAACAATATATCGATGGGAAATAACACATCCTAACGGATCGGGAATGACAAAGAGAATCAGACACCGAGACTGGAGATGGCTGGCGCTTTGGTGGCATCATTTCTTCGCTTTGTGGAGTACAATATACGGACAAACTCGTTACAGTATCCCAGAAGAATTAAAACAGGGCTCTGTGGTAGGAAATCTAGCCAAAGATCTGGGTTTGGGACTGTCAGACATTTTTGACCGTAAGCTGCGCGTCGCTTCTGAGGCTGGTAAGCAGTATTTCAGCGTGGATGCGGGGAAGGGCGAGCTGGTGGTGAATGACAGAATAGACAGAGAGGCTTTATGTGGACAAAGCGCCAGCTGTGTGTTGCCTCTTCAAGTAGTAATAGAGAATCCACTACATCTATATCGTATAGAAGTGGAAATTAGAGACGTCAATGACAATGCACCGAAATTCCTTAGCAAAGAAAAACATTTGAAAATTGCGGAGTTGACAGCGGTGGGTGCGCGCTACCCTTTGGAGACAGCGCAAGACCTCGATGTGGGTATTAATTCCCTAAAATCATACAGTCTTAGCAAAGACGAATGCTTTAGTTTAAAAATTAAAGAACTTGCAAATGGCAGAAAAGTACCGGAGCTTGTACTGGAAAAAACGCTTGACAGAGAAAAACAAGGTATTCATCAATTACTGTTAACAGCATTAGACGGAGGGAATCCTGTCAAAACGGGAACATCAAAGATCACAGTGACCGTTCTAGACAATAATGACAATGTTCCTGTTTTCAAAAAACCGTTATATAAAATTACGGTGCCTGAAAGCAGTCAAAGTGGTTTAATGCTCGCAAAGGTAGAAGCAACTGACCAAGACGAGGGTGTGAATGGAGAAATTGAATATTCGTTTGCTGACCATACACCAGAGATATTGCGCTCTATTTTTCAGATCAACTCTGCAACAGGGGAAATTTTCCTTAAAGGAAAATTAGATTATGAAAACTTTGCAACTCACGAGTTAGATATTAGTGCAAAAGATAAAGGAATTCCTGAAATGGAAGGTCACTGTCGCGTACAGGTGGAGGTAATAGATATAAATGATAACGCTCCAGAAATTGTTCTGACTTCAAAACCGAGCCCAGTACCAGAAGATGCACCAAGTGGTACAGTAGTGGCTCTGCTTACAGCTCGAGACCTTGACTCCGGTGACAATGGTAAAGTGACATTAGGGCTCCCAAAGGGCTCTCCTTTTAAACTGAAACCCTCTTTTTCTGACAATTACGCACTCGTTACTGGCCGTAATTTAGACCGGGAGACATTCTCGGAGTATAATATCGAGATTACAGCCACTGACTCAGGCTCACCCTCTCTATCATCTAAGAAGACTATTAATGTCACTATCACTGATGTAAACGACAACCCCCCTGTGTTCTCACAGCCCTCTTATAATGTGTATTTAAAAGAGAATGGAGTACCAGGCTCTATCCTGT